AGCGGAACTTAATTGTTCCTTGACTAGATCGGTGAAACACCTGCATTTATTCCTATATATATCTCAAATAATGATAAGGCCAGTGCCTGCTAAAATGCACTTCATGTTCCAAATAAATCAGAATATACAGACATTTTTTATTTGTTTCTTTTTCAACGTCCGTTTTCAACGTGCCGTTCGTTCTGGTGCAGCAACTCCTACTGACTCGAGGCCGTTGAATCGCAAACGTCAGGGAACACTTAGTTTGGTATTTGGATGCATTACTTTTCATCGGCCACCCTCAATTCGGTGGTTGTTGTTGCTTTTGTAGCAAGGCGGATGCCCTATGTAATCCCTTCGCCCATTCCACCCTTTTGGCAAGGTCTCACCAGGGTAGGATCTTACATCACGACGTCCCATATTGCTGAAAATAGAACTCATGTTCAAAGCCTTATCCGGCTGCCATTGTTGGTTCTACCGGGCTAAGTCTGAAAAAAGAAACCCGAAAGCGGGTAACAACGTTTGACGGCTCCGACACTCCTGCACATAGTTAACAAAATCGATAAAAATAGGTAAAAATAGGTCTGCTAAGTGTTTGACAGAAAATCGATGGGAAACGGACACCGGCCTTCACAACAGACTATATTTCGCAAGATTTTTAAGTTCAAGATAAGACTAATCACGACTTTCTGCCCGATTATTCACAACTATCTGTTGCCGTAGTTGACACTGCGTCGATTTCCAGCGGTGACGACTGCTACTTTCTTGAACAGGCATTGATGACTTGCACTTACATTTTTATAATGATGGGGAGGGGAGACAATCCACTTCGCCTTTTATTTCCACGCCCACCATGCTCCAATTGGAGAATACAGTCAAGACAACTGGGGCATGTGTGTAGACGCAGTGGCTGTTGAGGAGGAATCCACGCCACACGTGCTGACCCTTTAAGCGTACACTAACTCTACTCAAAGTTAAGTTTCGGATTTCTCACCAAGGGGAATGCCGTGAAAACTGCACGAAGAAGGAGCCGCTGCAGCCTAACTCAGCCTGGAGAGGAACCGAGTTATCGTGTGTCAGCTAACGACTTCTCAAACCAAGACCTTAAACTGTTAATGTTGGTTTAAGACATGTTTGTAGCTTGTTGTTCGCAGTGAGAATACTAAACAGGTTAAGCCCAACTTTATCCTCCCTCATGTACATTTGGCAAGTCAGATTTGAACTGACTGAGATATGGGGTGAGTCGCAATGATTCACGTCATGAGACCACTGTTATTGCCTTTCACAGACGTGCTGAACTCCACATGCACATGAACACGAATTTATAAACCGTGGATCTCATCAGCGTGATGAGCGTATTAATACTTCGCCGTTTTCAGTTCACAGCTACCCTTGTATTTCCTGCTGCGACCACACTACCCTTATTGTCATCAACGTGCCAACACCAATTCATTTCTGCGTCGTTTGTCAAACATAGGTAGTCGAGGATTGCTGTTTTGGGCACATCTTTGACATGTTAGTCACCACTGCTGGGCGGACACAGATTTCATACACCACCATTCTTGCCCTTTGGATTTTCTGTTTGTTTAAAAGGTAGCAAACAATGGCGCAGTTACGCTATTATTCCCTCAGTTTAACCGAAATGGTACTCTATGGATAACGTAGTTTTAATATTCCAACCAAAGCGTCATCCAAAACTGTTAAATGTAGAACTTTTTCGGTGCTCTCCCAGAAGTCAGTTTAGGATCGGTTCTGTTTATAGTTTCAACGACTATGAATTTATTGTCACCGCTCAGGAGGTACATTCAGCAAATTAGATGTCGGTTCTGACTTTTCCTCCTATTGCTCCTATAATTACATTGGTGTACTCTAACAGAATTGCCACATTTCTTTAAACACATCATCCAGCTGTACATTTCGGTCTGTAGCATTTGTGACCGAGACCAGCTTCTATAACAACACGTCACTCCTTTATTCTTGTTCTTACTCTAGACTTTGCATTCGAATTACTGAACTTTTTGATCTTATTTTTTGAATCTGAAATTCATTTTAGTTTTATGGTCGATCGAAAGATTTACGTTGTCGGCTTCGGCCTCTACGGCAGCATACATGGCCAGAGCGAATACGAGGCGAGCATTGAGGCAAGTCTCTGCTCTTTTCCCCCTCCTCTCTTTTCTTGTTATTGGTCCATCCGTCCTCGTTCGTCGTCTCATCGGCAACTTTAGAGAGCTGGCTTTTTTGTGGAATACTACGAGCCTTTTGCATATCAGTGTGTAATCCTGCTGGTGGATGTCGAAACCTACCAATTCCGCCACTCCTGGGTGGCTACGCAGGCATCACAGTAGGTTTCTGCATTCAAATGCTGACCTGAATCTGCCCGTCTCAGTCCGTCAGTCTCTGTTTTAACCAATAGCAAACCTCACGTGGAAGTTACCCGTTTCTTACTGTCACTTGCTACAAGCAGGTAGAAAGTTTGATGCAGTGACTGGAGAGAGTGCAGGTTCTGAAAATCGGCCGACCGTGTAACGTCCGGTGCTACTTGGAAAGCCTATTTGCCATTAACAGGCCGTAAGGGAGGACATTTGCGATGTCTTCGAATGGGATCACAGTAAACCTCATGCCTTTTGCCTGTACCGCATAGCTTACCAGACTTGGCATCCTTTAGGAGATGGAAACCGTTATAAATAATCTCTTTTATTTACCCCACAAGTTAGCTATTATACTTGTATATTAATATAATAATATTAATCCATATGTATTATTATGCATAATAACATTAATAATGTATTAATGTATTCTTTTTATTTTTCCTTACTGTGCGCTAATGAGCAGTGCTACTTTGGATTGTCAGGACTTCAGCTTTATAGTATGTTTTGTAGAAAAGCGCAGACGTTAGATTTGTATACTATGGTCGAAGGTAGTGTAGTCTCGCATTTAGAGGGGTATTACATATGTGACAGGAATTTTTATTCGACTTATTGACCATGTATTACAATTGTTGATTAACTTTGATCCTCTTGGAGCAGGCCGCATGCTCCACTGTCAGTAAATCGAGGAAACCAAACAATGCGAACCGTGCTGCGTAAAGAAAATGGACTGTGTGCGTTGTACCCCAACTCTTAACACATGATGTAAATCCATGATATAAAGCAGCCATGAACTATAACCAAACGATTGTTGTGAATTCAAGCGCTGTCTGCAGTGGATATTGAACGTAGATCTTATACCTGCAAAAGTCTCTGTGGTTAGAACCCACCATTGTCTCACGACTCCGTGTGTTCCAGTCGGCTGTAACTCGAATTGTAATATAATTGGTTTGATATCAATAAAGTTTTCTCCCTCTCACCCCTGTCATAATTATCATAAGAGTTGCTAGCGGTTTCACTTTCCCTCCTAATTACTTCACCAGCTTGCATTTTCTCCCACTTTTATTTCTACGCGGGCTGATTTCAACTTAGTTGACAGTGTCGTTTTGCTAGCTTCAAGATATGTATGGCATCGAGTAAACAGGTTTGTTAACCCCATCGCTTTATTCACCCTTTCTGTGATGAACAAAGTAATTTCGAACTGCACTACTGGCCGTTAACAGGCGACAGTCTCGGATATGACGCAGTAACAACGTCATCATCGTCAGAATAGATGCAGTTCGCAGAGTTTTAGTAAACCCTCGAGTTATCAGCACCGCTGATACAGGTCTTCTCATGGGAGAAGTACTTACTCGCGCACTTGCCGAGCCTATCACCGAGCTCATCTAGATCCCTCATGATCATATCTGTATCGAGTAGCAATAAGTACAGAATGGGCGTTCACTCAACTAACATTGATATTCCACTAGCCTGCTTTCTTCCGCGCCACCAGTTTAACCGGTAGTAGTGGCAACGCGGTTGTTCGTCCATGTAGTCCCTGACTTCCTTGCCCGACTGTAGAGAGGGTCAACGAACCGACTAATTTCCCTGACGAGGAAACACTGGCGACACGAGTCACAGTGATGACGTGTTAATTGTCTGCTATTCACAATACAAGTGAACATGCGAGTCCCAGGAAGTAATTGAGAAGAAGACGACTCGATCGCTGGGACCGCCATTCAGTCAGAGGACCGTAACTTGCACTATAAAAGGGGCTTCTTTTCACTGTGCGGTGCACTTAAATAGAAAACACCGGACCCAAAAAGTCAAGCACATCATTAACCTATTTGAGCGATGCCCTTCCTCTTTTGAACTTGTTCCAACTAAAGCCTGGAAGATATTGCATATTTAAAGATGTGGCATTGATTTGGGATGCTCCCTTCAACTTCTTTTGTCTTTATTCAACATCATTTGACAATAGGTCGCTTTAGCGCCTCCCGTATCCTCATCCGGCATCGATAACCTGTCCCATCTTCTACTTGTTCGAGGGCCTGGTTGTGCTCATGAATTAACTTTCAGCTTTGAAAACCGCACAAGAGCACGCGATCAGCAGCCCTCTTCAAATAAAATGTATATTATGAAAGAAGGCTCTGAAAAGAATTCGGCACCTCAAATAGTTGCGAATGCAATATATACATATATTAACCTCTTGTGACAGCAGTCCACGAAGAATGAGCTGTACACGCGAATGAAATAGATGATACATGTGTCAAGTCAGTCAGACTTCTGCTATCCGATTGGCATTCGCTTTCTCACCATACTCAGCCTTGATGACGATTGCTACGCCAGTTTAGGGCAGTGGTTCAATTATCGAAAGTCCACAACTTGAGGATGCTTTTGTGATCAAGGTGAGCCACGTGGCCCTGGATCCCTCATCGCTAATTTTCGAAGGCATGGCTTGGTCCAGATCTGGCAGGCAGTTGTGCAGGCTATTGCTAACCACTATCGGAGTCCGACGACTGTGTCTCTTCAGATTCGGTAGAAAACAATGGAAGAGTTGACTCAGGCGTTTTCTCGGCTTGTAGTCCTTGTAGAGGAAATCATCATAGACTACGCGTGGTCCGTCCTCTTCATGCAGGCGAAACATCCTTTTTCAACTGGTGGCAGATTGCGTCGAGTCCTGCTGTCCCTTTGCCACCGCGATTTGAATGTGCTCTGAATATTGATTTCCGCCCGCGTGCCACGTGCGGACCCCGGGGGCCCAAAGGTAGAACACAATATTAAAGCTTAATTCGATCGACTTCTCTCAAAGCCGGCCGAACTATTGAGACATCAGTAAAGGGTATTTGATGGGAATCCCATTAGGTAAATTTGGCTAAAACAACGACAGTGAACTTTTCATGTAATCGGTGATATTTGTTTAAATTAATCAACTACCGACCGGTACGCGTTCGCGCACACACCTAAAGAATGCATAACAAGGATAAAACCCGTCCCATAAAATATTGCATTTTATTTTCTACTTATTTTTACGAGGGTAGCATGACATTGTAGTCGACAGGGCATAGCGACACGTAGGTCACGTGGCGCGTTTATATGGCCCAGTTTCAGTATTCCATTGGTCAAGTGTACAGTTCGTAGTGCGACCCCCCCCCTCCCCCAAACGGGCCGCGTGATAGATGCGCTGGACCAACAGGGG